CCCATGAAAGGTGGCTTGATTAAGCCACACTAGGCCACAGGATGGTGAAATACACTCTTCAGCATCCAAGCACAAAGCGATATAGACAATACTTCAGAGGGAACTTGGCTTACTTCTTACATGGTGGGTTACTTCTCTATCTCAGCTGGGGTAGAAGCTGGGTTGGTGACTGGCTCGTACACCCACGGAGTATGGTGACTGGGAAGACGTGTAACTATGCACCGCACGGCGGAGCAGGTGGATGACAGGAGACAGGCTGGATGATAGGCTGACTGGCGTTCACTTCCACAGTTCTGGCTTACTGATGGCTTATTGCAAATCCGGGTTCATCCCCCTCGGAGATTGAAGCAATTAGCACACGAATAAGCCCGGACGCTTGCGAAACGGCTGCAACAGGCTTGCAGGGCTGGATGGTGGTGAGTGAGGGGGGGAGCGAGTTAGCTGGAGTGTGGTGGCTGGTTCACCTTTGACCGCGGCTACTCACCAAACAGTCTTCTAACGTCCTGAAATTTACCCGTTAAAAACTTAATCCACTCTCCTCCACGGTGCCACATTTTTCATGGTGGGAGTTCGTTACGTGGATAGGGAAAGTTAATACTCACCGTAGGCTGGTAGTACGATTAATTTACAGATACTGGTGGGGAGCGCCCAACAGCTGCTATCTCCTTGACTCACTCTCTTATAACTGGCCTGGCCGCCCACAGTACCATTTGTGAGGGGGGTCTTTGAATACTGCTGTGGTCAGCACAATATGAATACAGACAGTGACTCAGGCAGAGACAGTTGGTAGTGAGTCAACTACTGGTACACTGGTTACTGGTAACTGGTTACTACTACTGAGAATTGTAGTGATGGTTTGTATTTGTAGTGATGTTTGTATTGTGTGATGTTTGTATTGTAGTGATGTTTGTATTGTAGTGATGTTTGGTATGGTAGTGATGTTTTGTTATTGTAGTGATGTTTGTATTGTAGTGATGTTTGTAGTGTAGTGATGTCTGTATTGTAGTGATGTTTGTATTGTAGTGATGTTTGTATTGTAGTGATGTTTGTATTGTAGTTGATGTTTGGTATTGTAGTGATGTTTTTTGTGTAGTGATGGTCTGGAGAGTTGTGATGTCTGTAGTGTAGTGATGTTTTTTCGTTTTTTTTTTTTTATGTGTAGAGTTTGCCCTGGAGAGAGTTTACGGGGGGTCAACGCCCCCCGCGGCCCGGTCTGTGACCAGGCTGGTGTAGTGATGTTTGCGTCGTTGAAAATTGAATGTGATTGTTTTTTTTTGTAGTGTGAAGTGTGTTGTTAGTGTAGTGCTGTAAGTGTAGTGGGCTTAGTAGTGTAGTGGTGTTTGTAGTGTAGTGGTGTTTGTAGTGTAGTGATATTTGTAGTGTAGTGATATTTGTAGTGGTGATTGCACATATGGCTCTTCCTTACTCCTACCAGGTATTATTTCTCCCTGCCTCAGTGCACGAGGTCATGGCATCCCTTTTATCTTCAACATGTAGTAACTCTACCTTCACCACCTAACATGTGCTCCACGACTGTCCATTAGATCCACCAAAAACACACACAAAAGATAAAGAATAATAACCACTCTGAAGTTTGATGAGCGGGTTTCGGGGGCCAGCGCCCCGCGGTTAGTCTTGGAGCCAGGTCTCATAGTGGATCAGGGTCTGATTCAACCAGGCTTGTTACTGCTTTGGGCTCCCCTACCGCACGCAAGCTGACGCATGAACCACAGCCCGGTGGGTCAGGTACTGACCAACTGGGCTGTCGTTCGGAATTTACACAAATGAAGTGCATAAATTTTTATCCAAATTTTAAAAAACTAATTACGATGTTTCGGTCCTACTTAAGGAACCCCGAGTGGTCACAGTCATACCGATACGTCGTCAATAATTTTCATTCATGTTTGTGAGAGTTTATTTTTCACACACACACAGTAACTAAATATTTTTTTTATAATAAAGAGTAAATAACATAAATCTAATATATAATGGACAGTGGACTCTGACGAACGCTATTAATCCGTTCCTGAGAGCTCATCTTTAGTGAAAATTATCGTTAGTCAAGATCAATTTTCCCCATAAGAGCAATAATGGGAAAATCAAATTAATTCCGTGAAGGACCCCCAAAAGTAATTAAAAAAAAAAATTGTTTTTACACTGAAATATTAATTTAATACACACAACCTGAAAAGACTGCACAGTTACTTTGACCACTTACTTTATTGAAGATCTGGTGATGGATGGTTGGGATGGGAGGAGGGGAGAGTGTTGGATTGGTCTTAGTGTTTAGAAGGGGAATCCCTTCCATTAGGACTTGAGGTGGCAAGTCCTTTCCGGGGGGGTTTACTTCCCTTTCCCTTTAATCTCTCAAACCATCCTTTGCTGGCCTTAAATTCACTCACATCACCACTAGTTGCTTGCATTGTTTTTTTTTCATTTTTTTTATTTAAATCGGCATGCAAGTCCTGCCCTTTTTCACATATGATCGTGGAGAGATGTGCCTATCTCCATGCTATTCTGTTTTTCATTTAGCCACACAATAACAGTCTCTTCAACATCTTCGGAGTACTTGCGATCTCAGTTTCAAAAACATAGCTGCTCTTTGGCAGAACAGCTTTCTTGATTGCCGGTTTTCGTGGCACCAATAGAGCTTACTCTTTTAGCGATGGTTGATTGGGGTTTTGTTGTACAACCTGGCCAGCTCGGAGACCACCGCACTCCACTTTATACTTAGCAATGAGCTCTTTTTCATATTCCCATATTAATTCTCACCTTTTTGCTGATTCAGGGTTGGCACCTAGCAGATTTCTTGGGGACCATGGTGACCCCCCCTTTATTTTGCAGGTTGCAATCACTAAAAAGGCTGTGATAACATGGATTGTGAAATGTTCCGATTGTATGCTTGGAGAAGCGGACCGCGGTGGCGGACTGGCTTGTAAACACTGGCCAGGAAGTGGACACGTTGACGGAACAATAGTGATGGTGGTCGAATTTTTTAGCGCTAGTTGAGGCAAAAAAAAATTTTGCGTTTTAAAATGGATTGTAGTCGGGATTTATCGTTAATCGATGCCATGTTGGTTGAGGGTTCCAATCTGTTACTATGTATTAACACTACACTAGTTCTAGTCTTGATAATATGCACAGTAGACTTGAAAAACATGGTGGATACATTCCTAAAAATGGTGTGTTATATGAAATCATGTTAAATGAACTGAAAACATGTGGGAAAAAGAAAAAGAGGGGCCATGGTCATGTCACTTTGGAAAAACAAACTTTTTTTTTTTGTCTTCATAATTCGTCAGAATGAAGTTTACCATTCCTTACATTGTGGCTATTACAAGCAGTCTTGGCTACCACCACATTACTTGCCAACAGTAAAATATTGCCACATTTACAATTTGCAAAACATTCTGACTAGATTTATACAAAATTAGATTTTTTCAGCACATGACGGTAGGTGTGGAAGGTCAGAGTTTGCTGTTGCACTTATAATAAGATTAGTGAGGGGTCTTTAGAGAATAATGAAGGCAACTGATGGATCTCTTGTTTAAACATTTCAGAATAAGGCAGATAGTGAAGAAAAGAAAGCTTCACTTACACCTGTAGCTGAAGAAGCAGTGGAGGATGTAGGGGATCAATCATCAAACTCTCAACTTTCCACAATACCAGAAGTATCTGGAGCCTCCTCAGGAAAGCAGGACTCTACTAACTCCACTACTGACACAGAGATGAGCCAGGACAAAGAAGAGAAACAGATTGCAGACTCAAGTGGGACAACACAGGAAGAAGCATTTAAAGAAGAATTGGTCCTATCTAATGATAAGCCACAAGCGGGATGGAGAGCGAAAAACAAACTGCGGTGCCTGTAGTAAGTCTTGCTCCTCTCTTGTGCCCTACTACTTGCCCTCAACTGAGCCCCAGATCAAAAGTAGAGAAACTGTCACAGAAGCACACTCCCTTAGTTAACAAAGTCTACCATAGGCCCTGTTTTACCCCGTACCTGACACCTGAACTGCACTGTAAAACTGGATATGTTAACACATCATTACCTAGAAGACTAGTACAGGGGCTGGGGGGTGTGTGGAACCAAGAGGAGGAGTGGTGGGATGGGTCCACAAGTGAGATTGGGAAAGATGGGCATAGTGCCCACATGTTTGATCCTCCTGTTTCTCTAGAAGAAGCCCTAGCTTGTGGCCTCCTTCACAGGATTGACACCACGGACAGGTAGGAGACTCCCTTGTGTGCAAATCTCCCTCCTCTCTTGTAGTGGAAAATTCATCCTCGGTATTACAGCTGAACTAGTGAGTAATCTTTTAGTAACTTCTGTATTTCTGGTTTCATGGGTAAAATAAAAGTAATGTAACTTTTGACTCCTTGTTCTCTCTGGAGCACCCTCATTGATTCACAACTTGCCTTAGGATTTTTCCCTGATATTACAGTAGCCTTCATGCGATCAGTGACTTGAAGGAATTCTAGTCATGTATGATGACACTTGCTGTGTTGTAACTAAAACACACAGCACTTGCTGTGTTGTAACTAAAACATGCATACTATTTGCTGTGTGGTACTAAGGAATGAGAATGTGAGGCATATTGACCACTTGAGCAACATGCAAATTGCAAGTGTGTCAAAGAAATAAACCAGCAAAAGTATAAGTAAAGAACAATAAGAAGTTAGGTAAACAGAAAATATTATATAATAAGAGATTGTAGGAAATGTAGACTTAGAAGTAGTGTTATACTGCTGTACACAAATAACCCGAACTTAGGAGAAAGAAACTTGCGACAACGTTTGGTCCGACTTGGCCATTCGTGTCACATCTAGTTATTAATAACTAGGTAATGGTTCAAGTCTGACTGAAACATCGTCGTAAGTTTTTCTCCTATGCGTGAGTTATTTGTGTATTGATCTGTTCATGGTATTGTGCCTTTTTATTTGTTTTACTACTGTGTCCACCACCAAGTACTGTACAGTGGTACTTGGTTTGCGAAAAGCCTCCCAACCTCAGAACAGTTATGTAAGTGTTTTTGTAAGTGCTTTTGTAAGTGTATTTTTGGGGGTCTGAAACTGACTAATCTAATTTACATTATTCCTTATGGCAACAAATTCATCTCCGCTATTGGCACTTGAACAGCATTCTGGAACAAATTGAGTTTGTAACTCGAGGTACCACTGTAGTTAAAATATATAGTGGTAGTCATTATTGTCGCACAGAATGCTGTAGTTATTTATTAATCTTCAGTATCTTAACTAGAGTACTGTATATTTTTTCTTTTTAACCTTGGTGCCTCTTACTAAGACAGGGTTGACCCCCTAAAATATGGCTAAGAATATTCACCATTATTCATTCAAGCACTGTCCTGCCATAAACATGCTGTGTGGCCATCACAGTTCTAATAACTCTCCAACCTGTAACCTCTCTACCCCTCATTCAGCAGGCACTGTACTGCCCACCACCACCCCTCCTTCAGCAAGCATTGTACTACCCACCATAACCACCCTCCTTCTAAGGCAGCAGAGGTCACTGTTACTACCCATCACTACCCCGCCTTCAGTCTACAGGAATTCTACTTACCATCTTCAAGACTTGGGTCTAATTGGTTTTCCCCGAATCCTTTTGTGTATGTTCCCTTGTTCACACTTAAAATAGCACCTCTATTTTAAAAACCACTTGTCTCCTAATTTCTTCTATCCTAACATGCTCATAAAAGCCTGCTGGATGTCAAGCCTCTTGAAAATGAAGTCTCCTTTAACCCCCCCCCTCCCATCCTCCATTCTTTGGTGACCCTTCTATCTCTCTTGATCACCCTATATATATACACCCTTTTTGTTCTTTCTGCATCTATTGTCATGCCCAAACCACCTCAGGTATCCCTGTTTTTTTTTTTTTTTTTTTTAGTCTTCTGAATTCTGCCCTTAATTACCCCACACATCTTTTAATCGTGTACATTCCAAAGTTTTGCATACTATTCACCACACCTTGTTCTCAAAATGGCATCCTCAGTTGCTTTAGCCGTGCCTTGCTGCAATGTTCCAAAACCCAAGCTTCACACCCATATTAAAAAATGTTGTACTGCCAGTATTCTGTTATATTTAGTAGTTACTACAGTTTTTCCCAGAATCTGTGTTTTCTTGTATCCTTTACTAGTTGTACTGTAATTTCTGATATATTTAGCATAGAATCATTAGTTAAGTGTTTACGTAGATGCATGCTCTTAATGTAGCTTGGGATATGAGTGATAATCAGCTTTTATTGTAATCTTTCTGCGTGTGAACATTAAATTACTTTAGCTTTAAGAAAAAAGAACAGGGTGTGTCTGGTGCTGTGGCTGTTTTTTTAAAACAATGCCAAAATGTGTTCAGGAAAAAACCTGTTATGGACTTTAGGAGGTAGGAGTACAGTATCTATTCTCTAAAAAGGTTTGGGGGAATGTTGCTGAGTTGTGGGGGGATGGTTTGGGTGGTTATTTGAAATTGTGATGTCTACTCTTCTGGCAAGACAGCTGTTCAGTGAATGATGGTGGCTGTGCTTTTTTCTTTGAGTCACTTTTTATATGTGGGCAATAGATGATATGATAGTTGCTGGAGTTCACTTGATAAATGACCAGGACTTGAGGTGTTAGCAGGAATAATGTTCAAACTGGCTTTAGTAGTTAAGTAGTTAAAGGTTTTTCGCATTGGATGTTATCTACAATTATAGTGTTAATGAAAACATCTGGTGATGCTTTGAGTAATGTGCATTATTAATTTATTAATTTACTAGAGGAATCTTGAGGTTTCCAATTGTTGGCAGTGTTAAACAACCATTTGTGTGGCCTTTATGGTTCCTTCAATAAAACACCACATGCTTTCATCTTCAGTATTGTATATTTCAGTAATACTGAAATACACTTGTCACATTACACTGGTGATATAGATCAGCCGAGGGAGCATGTACATGTAAAATACAGCCTCTCCTCACTTAGCAGCATACACCTTTACCAACGCCTCGGACTTACGATAGGCTCTGACCAGTATTTATGCTTGAATAATGTATATTAGATAGCTGATGTCTCTATTCTGTTCATTTCATAACGTATTACTACTACTGTATAACATTTAAAAATATACCAGAAAAATTATAAATGGTGCAATGGTGACATTTAAAAACATATCAAAGATTTTGTGACATAAACCCACTACCATTATAGTATGCTTCTCACTTAGCGACGAATTCGTTTAATGACATGGTCTTAGGAACGGAACTCTGTCATTAAATGAGGAGAGGGTGTAGCGAGTTGCAGGGGTAGCTTTAGGCAGGCTCGCTTGTTTGCTTGTCAGAGCTGACTGGAAGTACATTACAAAAATGAGGGGTTATGTAACCATTTGTCTTCAGACATTCACTTTAAAATAAGTAAGTTTTTACCACATTGGTCTTTTCCCATCAAGGTAATGATCCCCTCCAAAAAAGAAAACTCATTCTCCATTGTTCTTTCAATAGCTGTATTGCCAGAAGTGTGTGAGCATCATAGATCAGATAATAGGATGATTAACCCAGTAATAATTTTGTATTCCCAAACTTTTAGCATGCAGTACATTTTGTATAACGCCAGGATTACATTCCCGTAAAATGCCGTGTAATGTAGAATAGTGTCGTGTGAGGTGTTAACCCTGAGTTCAAGACTTCAAGATAATTATACAGTATCTTTCAGATGTAACACACTGTCTTGAATGTCTAAAAGTAATCATACTATGACCACTTTATTATAAAAATTGTAGTTACATAAAGATAATTTCAGAACGATGTATACTCAACACCCTCAACGGACAGCCCTCGGCCCCGTGTTCTGCTCAACTCTGGCATTCCATCTCATTCTGTGTCTTCCCACCAGCTGAGTAGTCCAGATGACAACACCTCATCTCTGAAGAATGAAGAAGAAAATGGTAGCAACGTTTATCTTAAGGTAATACAAATAAATCCTTTTCTAAATTTATCACATTACTGTCATACCAATCATCTAAAGCTCAGCATATAGTAAATACATGTATAAACACCCCACAGGGTCAGAATCTTACATAATGTATTAAAAAGACTGTTAAACACATGCATTCGCAACTTTTACCCATTCGTAGACAACATGGGTTTAGAGCGGGTTGCTCCTGCCTCTTACGGTTGCTAGATAACTACAACTTGGGTTACATACACTTGAAGACGAGCAAAAAAGCTGACATAGTACGTTACACACATTTTGCCAGAGCCTTCAATGTGTCATTGCTGTGTATTGACACAAACTGGCTACAAGTGTCATCACTGTGTAAGACATGCAACAAAAATAAGAGGTTCGGTAAAGAAAAAAGAGAACACCTAATTATTTTGAAAACAGATATAATAGGCCAGATAGTAATATTAGATTAATAATTATATGGGGAGTGGAACAGAATTCTTCCTCCGTAAGCCAAGCGTGTCGTAAGAGGCGACTAAAATGCCGGGAGCAAGGGGCTAGTAACCCCTTCTCCTGTATATATTACAAAATGTAAAAGGAGAAACTTTCGTTTTTCCTTTTGGGCCACCCCGCCTTGGTGGGATAGGCCGGTGTGTTGAAAGAAAGAAAGAATTGTATTATGATAAATTAGAATTGATCAATGACATTATGATTTATCAATGTTTACACAACAGCCACTTAGAAGGCATGACCACCTAGAAGGAATGATACCTTCCCTTTTAAGTGTAGTGAATATAGATAAGAGTAAGTCGATGAAGGTATCAAACGAGTTAGGTAAGGAAAAATTGGATATCAGATTGGAAGGAATATGGAAGAAGTGAATGTGTTCAGATATTTGGGAGTGGACTTGTCAGTGGATGGATATATGAAGGATGAGGTAAACCTTACAGTTGATGATCGAAAAAGGTGGGTGATACATTGAGGTATCTCTGGAGACAAAGAACATTACCCATGGAGGCAAAGAAGGGAATATATGAGAGTATAGTGGTACCATCACTTATAGGGTGTGGAGCATGGTTGTGAATGTTCACATGAAGAGGGCTGTAGGCAGTGGAGATGTCATGTCTAAGGGCAAATGTGTGGCATAAATATTATGCAGAGAATTTGTAGTGTGGAAATTAGGAGAAGGTGCGGAGTTATTAAATGCATTATTCACAGGGCTGAGGAGGGTTCGTCGAGGTGGTTTGCTCATTTAGAGAGAATGGAGCAAATAGGTGGTTGGAGGTGTATAATCTGTATGGGGGAAAGGGGGGAGGATTTGTCCCTAGGAAGGATGGAAGGAGGAGGGTAAAAGAGGTTTTGTGTACAAGGGGCTTGGACATACAGCAGGCATTTATGAGCACGTTAGATAGGAGTGGAGACAAATGTTTTTTGGGACTTGACGAGCTGTTGGAGTGTGAGCAAGGTAATATTTTGCAAAGGGATTCAGGGAAAACAGAGTCCTGGAGGTGGGAAGTACAGTGACTACACTCTAAGAGAAGGGTTTGAGATATTTGCTGTTTAGAGTGACATCTAAATTGTTGTATTTTCATGCCTCTGGCAAGACAATGATAGTGTAAATGATGGTGAAAGTGTTTCTTTTTCATATCACCCTGCCTCAGGTCATCCTGCCAGTGTGTTAAAAAAAAAAAAAAAAATAGAATTACCAGGAGACATTGTTTTGAAGAGGAAACATGACAATGTCAGTGTTGTACATTGGTTGTGTATTGTATTGGAGAGCTGCTTAGAGCTGGTATTTTTAAATGTCTTCTTGGCTAGTGCTCAAACAGTCAATACCCAGACTTGGTAGAGACTGGGTGTGTGAGCAGACAACTTACATTACTCTTGCAATAAAGCCAGAAGCAATCACCTTGAAGTATTATTTCACAGTTGTCACTTGAGAGAACCCACTTCACACCTCCCATGACAACAATGTTCTGCATATTTTTCCTAATAAGCTGGACTGTGGTCCATGCATTATACAGTGAGCCACAAGCATCAATAGCCTAATTGAATGGGTAATCCACTAGGCTGCCTCTTCAGAGACCATATCACAAGTGATGATACTGACAACAATCATTAAACAAATTACATATAATTTTATAATAGGCTACAGTACTGTACTATACTGTACTGTACTTTACACACTGGAGTACTGTATTTGCTTTATGCAGTATATTTACCTTACAGTGGACTATATTTTTTACCTCACAGTAGAGGACAGTACAATATTTACTTTTTAGTGGATAGTATTTATATTTTCACATGTAATTTGCAGTATTTTTTTTTTTTTTTTTATTATCACACCCGAGCCGATTCCCACCGAAGGAAGGGTGGCCCGAAAAAAAGTAAAACCTTTCATTGTCACCATCATTCACATCCCATCACTCGTCTTGCCAAAGGTCTTTACACTACAGTTTTTAACTGCAACATTAACACCCCTCCATCACGTGCAGCACCGTACTTCCATCTCCAGGACTCCAAGTCCCGGCCTGCCGTTTACCCTGGAATCCCTTCATAAATGTTACTTTGCTCACACTCCAACCAGCACGTCAATATTAAAAACCATTTGTCTCATTCACTCCTATCAAACACGCTCACGCATGCCTGCTGGAAGCCCAACCCCCTCGCACACAAAACCTTCTTTACCCCCCTCCCCCAAACCCCTTTCCTAGGCCGCCCCCCACCCCCCCTTTCCCTTCCACTACAGACTGATACATTTTGAAGTCATTCTGTTTCGCTCCTTTCTCCAAAATGTCCCAAACCACCTCAAAAACCCTTTTCTCACCCCTCGGGGACAACAGTTTTGGTAATCCCGCCCCTCCTCCAACCCAAACTACGAATTCTTGCTTTTTAATTCACACCAACTTCCCTCAGACGACATCCCACTGCCCCCAGCCTTCTCCTCGCTGCAACATTCATCATCCACGCTTCACACCCATATAAACTTTGGGGTAAAATACTCTATACATTCCCCTTTTTTGGCCTCCAAGGACAAAGTTCTTTTTTTCCAAACTCCTAAGTGCACCCCCTATCTTTTTCCCTATAAATTTCTTGATTCCCCCATCTTTCTTGACCCACCGCTGAACGTCCACTCCCAAATATTAACGTTCACCTCCTCCATCTCTCTCCCTCCAATTGTATTCAATCTTTCATCCCCTAATTTTTTGTTATCCTCAAAACCTTACTCTTTCCGTATTCACCTTTAATTTTTTTTTTTTGCACACCCTCCCAAAATTCATCCACCAATCTCTGAAAACTTCTCTTCAGAATCCCCCAAGAGCACAGTGTCACAGCAAAGGGGCAGCTGTGACAACTCCCCTTTGTGTTGATTTTTTATCTTTTAATCCACGCCTCTGCCAAAACCCTGCATTATTCTCTTCAACCCCACTTAAATATTTTAAAAAACCCACGGTGACACCCAACACCCTTGTCTAAGGCCTCTTTTACGGGAAAAAATTTCCCCTTTCCTACATACTCTAATTGAGCCTCATCCTCGAAAAAAACTCTTCATGCTTTCAGAAACCCTACCTCCTACACCATACCTTGCAACTCTGCCACATTGCCCCCCCTTCCCCCCTGTCTTACCCCTTTTCCAAATCCAAAAATGCCAAAAACCTCTTGCCTTATTAAAATACTGTTCACTTTTTTTTCCTGTAAACCCTGGTCCAACCCCCCTCCCTTTCCAAAGCCTCCTTTTTCTTTGCTACCCTTTTTTCCGTCTTATTTTAATTCTTTCAATTAAACTTACCAACATTTCCAGGTCCCTCAACAGATTACCCCCCTTAAAATTTTTGCACTCTCTTTTACCCCCTTTGCTTTACAAAGGAACATGCATGTTTCCTGCCAATCCCTAGGTCCCTTCCCCTTTTCCATAATTTATTAAATAATTGCACCAACCACCCAAAACTATATCCCCACCCGCTTTTTTCATTTTTATCTTTTCCCCTCAAACCCGGGTGCCCTACCCCCCTTTTATTTTACCTACTCCACGAACTTCCCCCACACTCCCCAATGGTCTTCCCCACTCCTTCAAGGTATTCCCCTTGCCCTATACACGAAATCACAGTTTCCCTATCTTTAACATTTTAAAAATTCCTCAAAAAAATTCCCCCATCTTCCCCAAAACCTCAACTCTCCATTTAATAATCTCCCCTCTATTTTTAATGACAAATCCATTTGTTCTCTAGGGTTTCTTAAAATTGTTATCCACTCCAAAACTTTTTCTTTTTTCAACAAAATTTGTTATAACATCTCACCCCCTCCTCATTTGCTCTTTTTTACTTGTTCACCATCTCTTAAAATTCTCTCTTTTTTCCATATACTTTCCCTCCTTGCATCACTTTACTTTTTAAAAATTTTTATATGCTAACTTTTTTTCCCTTACTACTCTTTTTACCATCATTCCACCAATCGTCCCCTCCCCCTGCACCCATTTCCCGTAACACAAATTCTATGAACACTCTAACCTACATTTTAAACCACCCCATACCTCTTCGACCCCTTGCCTATGCTTCATTAGCCCATTATCCTCCCAAAAGCTTTTATATCTTACCCTAACGCCCCCCCTTTTAAATTTATAAACCTTCACCCCTCTCTTCCCCGATGCTTCTATTCTCCCGTACCCATCTCCTTTTACTCTCAGTATACTACCAAAAGTGATCTGATATTTTGTGGCCCCCTATAAACATGTACATCCCGAATCTACTCAAAATTTTTTATCTACCCAAACATAATCCCCAAAAAATACTGTCATTTCGCCCCACATCTTGGGATATTATTTTCCTCTTTTTTTTAAAAAATGTATTACCTATAACTAAAACCCCCTTTTTAACAAAATTCAATCAAAAGGGGTCCCATTTCATTTACACCTGGGCCCCCAAATTACCCACCACACCCCCTTAAAAGTTTCTCCCCTTTACATTCAAGTCCCCACCCCCAAATTCTCTCTCATTGGTTCAAAGCTCCTATACATTCACTTAACTCTCCCCCAAAAACTCTTCTCTCCTCTCATTCCTCTCTTCTCCAGGGGAAAAACGCTTATTTGACCCACTTCTCGCATCCCAACCTTTTCTTTAATCCCATAATTCTTTAATTTTCACTTTTTTTATTCTTTTCTCCTTCCATAAGATCATTTAACATTATGTACCCTTCCTTTGCTCAACTCTTCCAAATACTCCAGATTTTAAACCCCTTTATTTCCCCCCACGAAATCTCCTACCCCCCTTTTTAGCTTTGTTTCGTTTTGGGCCCGGACATCCAACTTCTTTATTCATAACATCGCAATCATTGTTTTTTTGTCATCCCCACTAAAACCCCCGCACATTTAAGCAACCCAGTTTTTTAAAATTTTTCTTTTCTCTTTTTTAGTAATTTTTATACAGGAGAAGGGGTTTCTAGCCCCTTGCTCCCGGCATTTTTGTCGCCTTCCCCCCCCATCGACACGCATGGCTTACGGAGGAAAGATTCTTTTCCACTTCCCCATGACAATTAGAAGACATAAAAAAGAACAAGAGCTATAGAAAAAAGAGAGAAAAACCTAGATGTATGTAGTAAATATAGTATTCAAGTGAGCGTGTCTGTGAAGTGTGACCAAAGTGTAAGTAGGAGAAGCAAGATATCCCTGTTATCTTAGCGTGTTTATGAGACAGAAAAAGAAACCAGCAATCCTACCATCATGCAAAACAGTTACAGGTTTTTGTTCACAGTCATCTGGCAGGACGGTAGACTTCCCCTGGTGGTTTGGCCTGACTACCACCTAACTACCTATAACAATCGATTTGCAGTATTACTGTATATTAAACATTGTTGAGAGTGCTCGAGGCTTGGTTGATAACATCATCTGCTCACACACTGAGTCACGGGTTAAATGTTGTTGCATGTTTTCTTACACCTGCTGTCACTCACTGTTCACCTAGCGTAAAGTAATGGGTAGGTACCTTGGTGTAATCAACTGTTGTGGGCGGCATCCTGGGGGACGAGGTTAACCTAAGTTGCCAGAAATGCTCGGTGTATAGCCAGTGATGTCAATTAGGTGTATCACTTGTATTATGTACTTTTAGAAATAAATAAATATTATTTTTATTTTTATTTAGTTTATATTTTATTAATTGTGTTTGTTTTTTGGGGGGGGGGGTTATTTTTATATTTGATTTTATATTTAATTTTTTATTATTATTATTATTTGTGTGATGTGTGCTGATAGAACTGAAGTACCACAACCAGCATTTACCACAATATAACCATCATGTATTATATTGTAGGGAGTGTTTGTGGCCTGTGTACTGGTAGAACTGTGGCAACACAACTACTTCTTGCCACTTCTACCTTTGGCAATCATCTACTACTTCGTCAAAAAAATTGGTGAGTACAAATTGCAATTTGTCTTAAAATTATAGATATTGAAAATGTTATAATATTAAAGACATACTAATGAAGGAAAACCTGTGAAGCAAGTTTTTTCGTAGACAAACTTACTCCTGATTATTTTAATCCTTACTAGGTCAAACTTTATTGCTAGTTAATTTTAAGCTTTTATAACTTGCATAAAAATGATCCATTATAATTTGTCACACACATCCTAGTTATACATGCTAGAACTATAGTTAAGTTTTTTAAGGACTAAGTCAGCCTGAAATGCTTGACATAACTGTGGGCTTTCACCATGGATTACACAACAGTGTATGATGCTTCACCCACAGTGACTTTATTTTACCTGATAAAATCACCTGCCCAGGTGGGTGTGTTTGTGACACAGCATACTGCCAGGTGGGTGTGTTTGTGAAACAACATACAACCAGGTGGGTGTGTTTGTGGCATATACAGCCAGGTGGGTGTGTTTGTGACAGCATACAGCCAGGTGGGTGTGTTTGTGATACATCATACAGCCAGGTGGTATGAGTTTGTGACAGCATACACCTAGGTGGGTGTGACACAGCATACACCCAGGTGGGTGTGAGGGTGTTACATTACTTACATAAGTGTTGAGGAGAGGATTGCAATAGTAATATGAGTTATCAAGGCAGTGTTAGAGTGCTCATGCACATATTCAAGGCAGCCATTACATTACTTTAGACAAATTGATTGGAACAATATGACAGGAAACCTTGAGTCTAGTGACTTTCTTGATACGGTTCAGGATTGCTTTTTAGAACAGGTTGTGACAGAACCAACTAGAGGAAACAATCTGCTTGACTTGGTTCTTGCCAACAAAGATTCACTAATTAATAATCTTGAGGTTAATGATGAGCTTGGAGAAAGTGATCACAAATCACTTAGTTTCAATATATCATGGAATTACCCAGATAACTTCAATCAAATCTCTGTCCCAGATTTTTGCTTGGCCGACTTCATGGGACTGAAAAATTACTTGGGTGGGCTAAATTGGGATGTCCTGACTATGGGTCAGGTAGGTGATCTTGGTTGCCAATATGACGTTTTTCAGAGCATAGTTCTAGCTGCCCAGACAACTTTTGTTCCGAGTAGGGAAATTAGATCTAACAAAAATGATCCCAAATGGATGAACAATAGATTAAAACATCTCATTGGTCAAAAGAGAGGCATATATAGGCATATCAAAAGAGGGGACGGGCAGTTAAGAAATCAATATATTCAATTAAAGAGAGAAATAAAAAAAGTAATAAGAAAAGCAAAAAGGGATTATGAGGCTAAGGTCACAAGGGATTCAAAGACTAACCTAAAAGGGTTCTTTCAGGTATACAGAAGTAAGATTAGGGACAAGATTGGCCCACTTAAGAGTAACTCTGGTCAGATCACCGACAGTGATAAGGATATGTGTGAAATTCTAAATACCTACTTCCTCTCAGTTTTCACCCAGGAAAATACTAGCGATATTCCTGAAATAATAGATTACGTAGAACAGGATGATAATAAACTATGTACGATTGCGGTAACTAGTGACATGGTCCTCAGACAAATAGAGAAACTAAAACCTAACAAATCCCCAGGTCCTGATGAACTGTTTGCAAGGGTGTTAAAGGAATGTAAAGAGGAACTTAGCATACCTTTGGCTAATCTTTTTAACATATCACTACAAACTGGCATAGTGCCTGAGAAGTGGAAGGTGGCAAATGTAATACAGTGGACCCCCGCATACCGTCGGCATCACATAACGTTTAATCCGCATACCGCTCGCTTTTATTGCAAAAATTTTGCCTCTCATACCGCTCAAAAACCCGCTCACCGCTGTTCGTCCGAGACACGTCCAATGTGCGCCCTTAGCCAGCCTCACATGTGCCGCCGGTGGCATTGTTTACCAGCCAGCCTCCGCGGTAACATCCAAGCATACAATCGGAACATTTCGTATTATTACAGTGTTTTTGGTGATTTTATCTGCAAAATAAGTGACCATGGGCCCCAAGAAAGCTTCTAGTGCCAACCCTACAGCAATAAGGGTGAGAATTACTATAGAGATGAAGAAAGAGATCATTGATAAGTATGAAAGTGGAGTGCGTGTCGCCGACCTGGCCAGGTTGTACAAGAAACCCAAATCAACCATCGCTACTATTGTGGGCAACAGAAAGGCAATCAAGGAAGCTGTTCTTGCCAAAGGTTTAACCCTTTCAGGGTCCGTCCCGTAGATCTACGGCTTTACGTTCAGGGTCCAAACCGTAGATCTACGCCATGAGCTCAGCTCACTCTGATAAACTGTGAGTGGTACATTTGGGCCTAGATATGAGAGAATACATCTATGTGGTATGTGTGCACCACATAAAACAGATCCTGCAGCGCACTGTGTATAATGAGAGAAAAAAAATGAAATCATGATTTTTCGATTAAAACAGCAACTTTGCAGTGTTTTTTCGTATGTTTTTTATAGTTGTATTTGCGATTTCTTGGTCTCATTTGATAGAATGGAAGACATATTACAGAAATAGAGATGATTTTGATTGGTTTTAGCTTTGGAAATGGCTTGAAACTGAGCTCAAAGTAGCGGAAATGTTAAATTTTTGCCGATATTCAAGAGTAACACAAACGACCTCACACGTCTAATACACATCAGCTGGTGGGTCTAATATACATTCACAAATATGGTGATGATATTTATACAATTATTACAGTATTGCATAACAGTAAATCTTCTATTTTTTGGTGTGAATAAAAATTCATTATGTGTATAAAAAATCAAAATGGAATTTATTTGTAAAGCCTCAAAACATAACTAATGAACAGAGGAAATGTTAGTTTAGTGCAAGGAATGCCTACATTGTTCATTCTGGACCCTATTTTGAAATTAGAATATTTTGAACTTTGTGTTAAATTAGCCAAATTAACAATTTCCGATCACTTTATTTTGTAGTTGAAACAGTTGACTTGGCGATTTCTTGTGCTCAATCGATAGAATAGAAGTAATACTAGTGAAATAGCTAAGAATTTGGTTGTTTGGAATAATGTAATTGGCCTAAAATGGGAGTCAAAGTCGGCAAAATCGCCGATTCGTAAATATCGCTGACACATCAAAATTCGCGAGAGCATAATTTCGTCAATTTTCCACCAAATTTCGTACTTTTTGTTTTATTACCTTCACAAAAAGATTCTCTACGATTTCATAAGAAAAAATAACAAATTTTTTTTTTTTAAATTCTTGGACACTGGTGCGTGACTCCAGATTTGGGCCTTGGACCCTGAAAGGGTTAACTGTGTTTTCGAAACAGAGATCACAAGTGATGGAAGATGTTGAGAGACTCTTATTGGTGTGGATAAATGAAAAACAGCTAGCAGGAGATAGCATCTCTCAAGCGATCATAAGCGAAAAGTAAAAGGACACAAGTGCAACTAATGTGACATTTATTGTGGCAACGTTTCGCTCTCCAGGAGCTTTATCAAGCCATTACAAACAATACATGGACACAGAGGGTATATAAAGGCTCAGAGTGAGGTGAATACTAGTGAGGTACCATTTCGATGTTCACTAGTGGTAGTAGTAGTAGTAGTAGTAGTAGTAGTGGTAGTGACAAAAGTAATACAATATGTTAGAGCAATTAATTTGTACATGAGTAAAAGGATATAAAAGCTATTACTTGGGTAACATAAAAATAGGTTGGACAAATATAAACTGGAATGAGGCAGCTTGTTTCAGTGTTCACTCTCTGTGCTTTGTGTAGTATAACAGGAGAGACTATGTGATGGCAGGGTTTACTGTTTTCAGGAGGATTCTTGCTAAGACTTCGGAGATGGTGAAGCTGCCGTTGTTTTGTTTAATTGTATTTGAAACAGCGATCAGTGCTGATTCAAGGCACTTGCGTGTGCGGAAATTATTTTCTTTTATCACTAATTGGGCGTCTCTGAATTTCATAAGATGATTGGTGGAATTTCGGTGTTGTACACAGGCGTTGTTTAAGTTGTCGTTCCTGCATGCGTATATGTGTTCATTGAGGCGGGTGTCGAGGTTTCTTGCTGTTTCACCTACGTAGATCTTGTCACAGCCTCCACAGGGTATAGTGTAAACTCCTGCATTGACTGGTTCGTGGTGCTTGGGTTTTGTCCTGGTTAGATCCTTTATTGAAGTGGTAGAAGCGATGGCGACTCTGGTGTTAGCTTGTGAAAGTACTTTTGAGACGTTTAGTGCAACCTGGCTGTTGGGAAGAATTATAACTTTGTTGGGAGCGGTGTTGATGCGTGGAGAATTGATGATCTGAAGAGCTCTTTTCTTGCAGTCTTTGATGAAAAAAGAAGGAAATTGTAACTCAGTGAATGTTTGGTGAATGTAAGTACATTCCTCGTCAAGAAACTCAGGACTACAAATTCGGTATGCTCTTAGGAAAAACCCGATGATGATGCCTCTTTTGGTCTTGGTATCTTGACTGGAATAGAAGTGTGTGAGATCATTTTTATTGGTGGGTTTCCGATAAACTTGAAATCTTAGGTTGTTGTCTACTTTGTGAATGAGGACGTCGAGGAAAGGTAGCTTGTCATTGGACTCTTCTTCTAGTGTAAACTGGATCGCTGGTTCAACTGCGTTGAGCCTTGCCTGAAGATCCCGTACATCAAAACGTTTTGGAGTTATTACGAGGACATCGTCCACGTAACGCAACCAAGTGACGCTTGAAGGGATGATGTTGGCGAAGTGTTCGGACTCTAGGTGTTCCATGTATAAGTTGGCTAGGACGGCACTTATTGGGGACCCCATTCCCATGCCGTAGGTTTGTTTGTAGAGCTTGTTATTGAAGGAAAAACAGTTGAAGTTAACACAGAGTTCAATCAAGTCAACAAAATCTCCGGGAGGTAAAGGAAGATTAAGGTCCTGGTTGACTTTACGTCGTAGAACCTCGATGGCTTTTTTTTTGGTAGGTACTTTTGTGAAGAGGGAAGTCACATCCAAACTGCTTAGTTTCTTGTTACGGATGGAGAGGTTAT